CCATCCATCCATCCATCCATCCATCCATCCATCCATCCATCCATCCATCCATCCATCCATCCATCCATCCATCATGGACATTAGAAGGTGTCTTCATGTGCAGAGAAACCGTCCAGCCTGACCTCCCATGTTTTCCCAGTTATCTGTTCTCAATGTAAATCTGAGTCTCTGCTGCAGTGAGCAGCTGTGAAATGAGCTCCGCTTGACTGAAAACCAAAGGAGACGGAGCCGTTTACTCTCAGAAGTCTCCCAGACGCGGCGCTAAAAGGCTTTCAGCTCGTCTTCACTGGAAGATTCGGTCAAAATAAAAGATGACGTCTTTCCACTGATCGATATTTTACAGAACAACATTTTATTCCATGAAAAAACAAGTTTCCTGAGTTCAGAGGAGCTAAATCCTTCCAGGTTATTTATGCTGCACCAAACTTCATCTCAGCTGGAATTTCTAGATGGTTTTTGCAGTTTAACCTTTTGCTCATTTACTGTGTGAAAGCTGCACAAAACATTTCCTTTTTTATACACTCTGTTTACAAAATGACAGTAGACGTTGTCTGAGTTTAATCATCAGAAATCCAGGATAAGCTCTTAGTTTCTGCTCTTTATTTGTGTTTTTCATGACTTTCCTTGAGCAGCTAAAGTTCAGCCTTGAAAGCGTCACCGGCTTTGAACGGCCTGTTTTCAGGAAGTCCGGCTCCAACCAGTCAGATTTCTGCTGATGCAGTCAGCTGCCACCTAAAACCCCAGTGACCCCAATCCTGGTCTGATGCGTCTCCAGCCGCTGCAGACGCCACGGGTGCAGCCATTCTAGAGTCGCATGTCTGTCCAGAACAAAGCTGCGTTTCTAGCTCTGCTGTAAAGGTCGGCGTTATCAGCGCCGCTGGCGGCGCCGTATCTGTGTCCAATGTCACACAGAGCAGAACGAGTCGTCTGCTGAGCTGAGCTCTGGGTTCACAGACTGTCCCTTATTGCTGGACCAGTCAGCTGAACGGCTGCTTTCTGACTGGGAGCAGAATGTCATCAGCAAAAGGACAAACAGGACGTGTTTGAACGGTTTCATGCAGGCAGCAGACTGAACCATGGAGGACTCCTTTTATGGTCGTAATGATGACCACTTCCTGGAGTAAAGCGCTGTTTGTGAGAGCAGGAGGAGGTTTTCCTCCCTCTGCTGTCGCTGAGTGTCTGAAGCTTCTGCTGCACCAGCTTCCCAATGATTCATCCAGATTAAATTAATCCTGTTTGTTCATCTAAAATCTAGATTCTATAAACCAGAATTCCAACCTGCTGTTTCAGCGCTGAGGTTCATCAGATCTGTAACCTTTCCTCCACTGAAATCCTCACAAAAACAAACCAGTTTCTCCGTCTGGAAGCATCTCATCCTGACACTGGAGCTTCCTGTTGCTCTAACCCCCCCCCCGGGCATAAACAGCTCCTTTCCTGCCGTCTCCCTGACTCAGCGAGGAACGCCGTGTTTTCTCCAGCAGACTCCGCCTCCAACGTGTTTCTGGTTTAACGTTCAGAGCTGAGCTGCTTCTTTCTAGGAGGAAAGAAGCAGCTCAGCTCACATGGGGGGGGGGGTCGTTGGCCGCTCTGCTGTGTCCTCAGCTCCCCCTCCGTCTGTTTACACCACCTCACCCTGATGAAGCACAGAAATAGACCTGTTGGTACGAACCAGCTGAGGGACAGTGAGCCCCCCCCCCTCGCTGCGCCAAAGTTCAGCTGGTGAATATTTCTGTATTTCTGGGAGCTGTTTACTGGCTTCTGCTCCCTCTGTTTACTCAGGGGGGGGGTGAGATGCTGGACCAGCTGATGGTCCTGATGAAGTCGCCTCATTAAAACCATCAGCAGGTGTTTCACAGAGTTTCTCTCCTTCTTTATAGAAAACATCTCCAGCCTCAACGTCTCCAACTCCTCCTCGCCCGCGGCCCCCGGGGGGGAGGAGGAGTTCCTGCTGATGAACAACTGGCCCATCTGCAAGGACCAGGATGAGAGGCTGAACCTGGCCTTCACCGTGGGCTCCTTCCTGCTGTCCGCCATCACTCTGCCCCTGGGCATCGTCATGGACAAATACGGCCCGCGTAAACTGAGACTGCTGGGAAGGTGAGGCTCCGTTCAGAGGAGACGGACCTTCCAGCTCCTTCTTCTTCTTCTCACCGTGTCTCTCTGTTTGCAGCGCTTGCTTCGCCTTCTCCTGCCTCCTCATTGCTTATGGAGCCAGCGATCCCAACAGTACGTCCTCTGCGGTACTTCATGTCCTCGTTAACCAGCGTCCAGATGTTTTCTCATCTGTGCCTCTTCTGTTCTCAGATCTTTCCATCCTGATCTTCTTTGCTTTGGCCATGAACGGCTTTGGAGGGATGTGTATGACCTTCACCTCTCTTACGGTAGGAAGACCTCAGCTGATTAGTTTCCTCAGTAACTCTGCTGTCAGTCTAGCAGCACTAATCCTCGTGCAGGACGGCGCTCCTGGTGAATCAAACCTCACTCAGGCAGAAGGTCGGCTGATTGAAGTAGAGGAGCTCTGAGGTTAAAGGTCAGGAACAGTTAGAGTCCTCCTGTCCTATCGGCTTCGGTCTGAGGAGTGTGGGGAAGAAATGAGTAAAGATCCAATTTAATAATTAAACTTTGATAAACATTTTAATCAAGAAACATTTTAAAAAGAAACTTTGCTGTTTTCAAACAGCAAATCTAAAAACATAAATCCACAAAAATCCCAAACTACTGCAAACCAGGAAGAATCACAACAAGGGGGCAAAGAAATGACGACAAACCGGCAAAGAGTGACTGACCAGGAGAATAAATGAAATCTAAATAAGTCATTTCTTCCTAAAATCAGTGCATTTTTTCTTGAATTAAGGATTTAAGTGAGACACTTTAACAATGGAACAAGACAATTTGCACTTAAAATAAGAAAAAACAATTCCA